CGAGAACCAATTCAGACCAAATCCAGTTCAACAACTCAACAAAGAACAACATATTTCAAGTTAATGTCTTCAAGCCAGATTTTAATTCCACGACGGAAGATATTCGGCTGACAGAATTCATCAGTGGGCTTTCCCGTAAAAGGGGAGTCATTTAAAGATCGTCTCATTTGGTTCAGACTCGCTCAGAGGAACCACCTGAAGAACTACGACCGGCTTAGACCTGTGAAGAGAAACCATTTTTTTAAGACAACATTTGCAATATAGCTCAAGACAAGAATGGCTATTTGCCAACCAAAGACCTTCGAGTTCGACTACGCTCAGCTCAAAGGCACATCATTTGCAGCATAGCTTAAGTCGAGAAGGGCTATCTGCCAAAGACCCCCGAGTTCGATTACACTCAGCTTCGAGGGCATATCATTCACAGCATAACTCAAGTCTAGAAGGGTTATCTGTCACCAAAGACCTTCGAGTTCGACTACGCTCAGCTCCAAGGCATATCATTTGCAGCACAACTTAAGTCTAGAAGGGTTGTCTGCCAACAAAAGACCTTTGAGTTTGACTACGCTCAGCTCAACGGCACATCATTTGCAGCATAGCTTAAGTCGAAAAGAGCTATCTGCCAAAGACCCCCGAGTTCGATTACACTCAGCTTCGAGGGCATATCATTCACAGCATAACTCAAGTCTAGAAGGGTTATCTGTCACCAAAGACCTTCGAGTTCTACTACGCTCAGCTCCAAGGCATATCATTTGCAGTACAACTTAAGTCTAAAAGGGTTGTCTTCCAACAAAAGACCTTTGAGTTCGACTACGCTCAGCTCAACGGCACATCATTTGCAGCATAGCTTAAGTCGAGAAGGGCTGTCTTCCAAAGACCCCCGAGTTCGATTACACTCAGCTTCGAGGGCATATCATTTACAGCATAACTCAAGGCTAGGAGGGTTATCTGCCAACAAAGACCTTCGAGTTCGACTACGCTCAGCTCCAAGGCACATCATTTGCAACATAGCTCAAGATAAGAAGGGATATTTGCCAATAAAAGACCTTTGAGTTCGACTACGCTCAGCTCCAAGGTACATCATTTGTAGTATAGCTTAAGTCGAGAAGGGCTAACTTCCAAAGACCCTCGAGTTCGATTACACTCAGCTTCGAGGGCACATCATTTGCAGTATAACTCAAGGCTAGAAGGGTTATATGCCAACCAAAGACCTTCGAGTTCGACTACGCTCAGCTCGAAGGCACATCATCTGCAGCATAGCTTAAGTCGATAAGAGCTATCTGCCAACCGAGGACCTTTGAGTTCGATTACACTCATCTCAAAGGCAAATCAAGTTCACAGCATAGCTCAAGGCAAGAAGGGCTATCTGTCAATAAATTATCAAGCTCGATTCCATTCAGCTCGATGACACATCAATCACGCTACTGTCTGGCTACAATCAAGGTTTTCAAGTCGAGAAAAATACCCGGGTTAACCGTGCCATGGTGACAAAAAACCACTTTCTGGCAGCATAGCTTAAGTCGAGAAAAGCTATCTGTCAACGAAGACTTTTTGAGTTTGATTTTATTAAGCTCAAGGGCCTGTAAACCACACAGTGGAATTAAAGAATTACTTTACAGTCAAATTTTTTAACCAAGGTATTTAAACCGATGAGAAGACCGAGGTTGACTACAATTGGGCAACAAGAAGCCGCATCCCGATTCAAATTTTGAACTACGACTTCAATTCCATATCATTTCAAGGTGGACTGGACTTCGCGACGGAGGAGACATCCACAACTCAAATTGACAGGGAGTTATTCTTAATTGAAATATCAGAATCAATTTACAACTCCAACGAACGATATTTGTGTCCTTTTGTCTTTGTCCTATTTTTCGTTCCACGAAAAAGGACAAAGAGGGGCAGCTGTAGACACCTAATTTCGTTCTTTACTTTTATTAATACTACATATTATATTATATTTTGTTTACATTACTATAATATATTTTTTTACATGATTCAGGCCCAAACCCCGTGGCCCGTTTGATGACCCACCAGACCCGTAAATCAGCCCCACGACTTGTAACAGATTGGGGTTTACGAGCCCTAACTTTTTCATCCTTAAGCAACAGCAGCCTCAACCGTTCCAGCCCCCCACCAGTGCCGCTTCTCACGCAACAACCCGTTGAAGTCCCCTCCTTTCACGCGGCTACACCAAGTCCTCCGACGAACGAGGAGCATCACCAACAAATAAGCAAAGTCGTGTGTTAGTAGGATTCAATAACAACCAATAAATCAGAGGATTTTCAGTTTACATCAAAGACCAAAAATAGTAAATTCTTTGCTATAAATAAAGATATAAATCAGATTGAAGGATTTACTACGGTTTACACAAGAGACACCGAGAGATTCGGAGCAAGTTACACAAAAAAAATCATTCGGAAAAGCGGGAAGCAAAATACACGCGGAAAATATAGAAAAGGGGAAGATTCTTACCGGTGGTTGGGTCCAAAAGTCATCGGTTTCTGAGGAGTTTCGAAGGAAAAAGAAAAGGCTTTACTTCTGGGGTGGCTTCATCACTCATCTTTTGGGTCTGTTGAATTTACTTTGCTTCGCCGACTCAAGATTTGGCGAACAATGAACCTCTTCTCTAACTTCGTATGCTAAGGCAATGTGTATACCATCTCTTCACGTTTCTTTGCTTTGAATATGTTGAAGATGCCTTTAATATTTGTTTTATTATAATAAATGTAGCTGAAAAGAAATAAAAGTCTACCCTACATGCTACAACCATTGTTTTTTTTTCCAATTGCCTACCCTATTTGCTCTCTCATCATTGTATGGTTATTAAATATTTCATAAAAAAACCTTTAAAATTATATATATATATATATATATAATATCTATGGATTTAGAACAAAATATTATATATATATGCTTTTAATTTATTTTTTATTACTTTTAATTTTAATATATTTTTATTTTTTTTATTTTGTTCTTTTAAAAATATTGTCTCATATCCATATATATATATATATATATATATATATATATATACGCTCTTTTATTTTATTATTTTCAAGATTGAATATTTTTTATTTTTATTTTCTTATTCTTTTTAATATTTTTATTGTTATTTTCTCAATTTATTTTTACTCTCTCTTTAATTTATTTAATATTTATCTTTCAATATAACATTTTAACTTTTTTAGGGTCAATTTTAATTAATCAGATGTAAGTAATTTAAATTGAAATTTTAAATTTCGATTTAAATTTTTAATTTTCGCTATTAAAAACAACTGGAAAATTAATTGGTACCGAAAGGGCGGTTTAAGGGTGCTAATCCTTCCTTGATCGTAACCAACTCCCGAACCCGACACATTTCTGGTAAAAACACTGATCAGGTAAGATAGTGTCCGACCCACCTAAAATCGTTTTAAAATGGTCGGTGGCGCTCCAATCCATATTTTCAAGTCGAAGCCCAATTCCTGGCCCACCCGAAAGACGGTTCCGATAAGGAGTTAATATTTGATTTAATTATGATTAAAAATAAAATTATAAAAAATAATGTAATTAATATTTTACTTTAAATAATTTATGTTTATATTTTTAACTAATTAATAATTATACGTTAAATACTTTATAATTTTAAAATTTTATAAATTAAATTAATAGTGATCATCATTAATAATAATGTTTATTGATAGTCGCGGAACATATGACAGAATCATACTTGATGCAATATACCTAATCATGTTCCCCATGTGATGCAGTGCGTATCTTATAGTTTATATATTTGATTTAAATGTTATTTCCTGCAATTATGTTTGCAATGCAGTGCCACGTGCATTTATAAAACCGTTTGCAATTATGTTTATATTTTTTTAATAAAACGAAGCAATTCTTAGTAATGTCAGAGTTGACGCTAGGTTGCCGTCCGGACACTCGCGAAAATTGTTTATTAGTAAAGAATATTTTTTTATTTCTACAAATTTTTGGTAAAAAAATATTTAAAATATTATTATTTTTATTTAAAATATTAATTTTTTTAATATTTTTCATAAAATACTTAATAATAACAAAATTAATAGAAAAAATAATGTTTTAGGTAGTGTTTTATTGGATATGTTAATAAACCCGGTAAAGTGTCCAATAATAACAAAATCGACAGAAATAATAATATTTTAAGTAATTTTTTACCGAAAATATTAAAAAAATAATAACAAAACTGGTAGTGTATTATATAAAGGCTGCCGTAAGTGATACTTCCCCATTTTCACCAATAGTGATAATTTAGGTAATTCTTCTATCATAAAAATAAATGATTCCATTCCCAAAAAAAACAATTTTTCGAACAAAACAAATAAATCAAATATGTATTTAATTAACACTCATAAATATATTGTGTGGAATGAGTCGTAAGACTGATATAACAAAAATTAGGTGAGTCTTTCATATATGTAATTTTAATCTTACATATCAACGAATGAGAATAATGTTAAACTTTATACTCTCAATAGATCATGAGACGACGAAACAACATTTCAATCCCAATTGACATCCATGATAGGAATGGATTGAGCTAACCATATAGGGATGGATTGAGAGAGAGGATGGACTGAGACACTCGTCCAATATTTAAAATTATTATATATTTTAGATTTTTTAGATTTTTTTATTGAAAATTTGTTTTAACTTTCAATAAACTTTTATAATTATAAATCTGTCATTCTATAATTTTAAAAAATTTAATTCACTCCCTCAACTTAAAGCCAAGTGTCCTTCACTCGATCATAACTCTCGATACTAGGCTAGATCACAGACAAAATTCTAAGTACGTCGACACCTTGAAGTCTAAAAAATCTCTATTCTATAATAGGTATTGTTTGTAAGATATAATCTTCTTCCTTAAATCATAAAACCCTACTTTGTTATCTCACAACATTGTTCCATTACTTACATTTTTTACTTAAAACATTAAAAAATTCCTCGAAGCTTAACTCGAATATCCTCATAGAGTATATATGCCTGCAGAGCTTTGGGCGATCCTGGATGGTCTAACTATCGCTTGGGAGTGTGGCATTAGGAACCTGGAGGTGGAAACGGACAGCCTCGAAGCAGTCCGATGTCGCAGCTCGACTGATCGGCCTCACGAGCCAACCATTACCAAAAGAATCAGGCTTCCGCTAGACAAACAGAGGTGTGTTTCGATCAACTTCATACACCGAGAATCCAACGTACTTGCTGACTATATGACCAAACTTGAGCGCATAATGGATATGGGATTAGCACTTTTTCAGTATCCCCCAATGGAAGCTCAACGTATTCTACTTTTTGATCGAACTCCTCAGAGGAGAAGATACCCTTACTGCTAACGCAGTTTTCCTAATTGTAAAACAAAAAAATAATTAATTTAATATTACGATTAATAAATATTATAAAATAGTTAAATTAGGGCCTAAATTATAAAAGTAAAAGATGGGACAAGAAAAATTAGAGTCCTCAATTATAGACGTAAAAAGTAAGATTAAAAAGTTAGGGTCTCAACTATAAATATAAAAAGTGGAATTACAAATATTAGGACCATTAATGATACAGGTATAAAAGCAAAATTATCCTATCGTACTTTATCACCTATCTTTTTTTTTGTTGAGCATTTTAACCTCTAATATTTCATTTTGGAGCAAAATGTCATATGGTTGAATGAAAATTATTAGTTGACTAATTGTTGTATACAGACGTGGCAAGTCTATGTGTGACGTCACTTCAACAAAAAAATTTACTTTTAGAGTAAATTATAACTATAATTAATTACATATACATTTTTAAAAATATTTTTTGATGACATGGCATCACACGTGGACTTGCCACGTCAATAACATGCGTTGACATTTAGTCAACTAACGATTTTCATCCACCTAGGGGACATTTTGCTCCAAAATAAAATATTGGGGCTGGAGCTAAAATACTCCAAAAAATGATAGTGGCAAAGTAATCATTTGTGTAAACGTTGGGGGTAATTTTGTTATTACACCAATTATAAATGTAAAAAGTAAGATTGTAAAAATTAAGGGCTCAATTATAATTGTAAAAAAATGAGATTATAACAATTGAGTGGCTCAATTATAATTGTAAAATGTGATATTACAAAAACTAGAGGTCTCGATTATAAAAAGAAAAAATTAAATTTAAAAAATTAAAAACATCAATTATAAATATAAAAAGTAAAATTGAAAAATTAGGAGTCATATAAAAATGGAGGTTATGAGCAATCGTTTAAGGAGCTCCCCTATTAGCCGACTCTGTTCAATGATAGGTTACATGGAGACGAAGACAGGGACAAACACATGATTTTGTGTCAGAGTGCGAACCTAGGGAACAAACTTTAAATTATAAAATTCTCGGGGGCATAAATATATTTTCAATAGAAAATACATAGATAAAATTTAAAATATATAGTAATTTTAAATTTTTAGGGGGACAACTGCTTCATCCGTCCCCTTAATCTATCCATGATCGGAGATGAGCGTGTCCCCTAAAATTTCTAAATTCTTATATAATTTAAACATTTATTTATGCTTTCTATTCTTACAAATTTTATAATTCTATATTTCGAAATTTATAATATAATTTTCCAACCATCACGGCATTTAACATAGAATCTTAAACTTTTATGTAACAGTAGATAGGGGAAATTTTATAATATCTCCATCCGTTAAAGCTTGTGGTGGTTCCAGTCATAAGGGTAATTTTGGAACAATGTTGCGTAAATGTCATCCACTTTTATTGGGGTTGTATTTCCATTTAGTAATATAATGGCTCAAATGGTCAAATGTACCAAAATAGGCCTTGAGTTTCAGGGTCTCGAAGAACTCCCACTCGACAAAACAATAAAATATAAGAGAAAAGCCCTATCAATGCCTTTGATGTTTACGTACGTATAAAATTTATCAAATTATTATCAAATTTAGTAATAAATTAAATAATTATTTAATAATTATTTTATAGTAATAATTAGGTAAATTTAGGAGGGTGGAAGATGACACAAATCTTTTTTCCGACTTACTTTATCGGAAAAGCCGGGGGAAAGGAAACATGACGTTCTCTAAATTATGAAGCTCAAAATCATTGATTTACTTACTACCTCGGTCGCCTTTGAGTTGACTCGCTTTTATGGAACCAATTTTTATTTAAATTATAATAATTTTCATAATTAGGTATTTATTTTTTTAATGATTCATGTGTCTAATGATACAAATGTTACTACTTCAAGTGTTTGAAACGTACACGCTGTTAATCTTATCTATTAAATGACATGATTTACATTTTGGTAATTTTAAAAAAAAATTGTTTAAAATTAAAAATTAAAATTATACTTTAAAAAACACAACAAAATTGAAATAACCTCAAAACTCTAAAAATCCTTGTTTCAACCCTAAACTTACAACATACATCGCCATTTGCCTTCGACGAAACTCCATCCGATCTCATCCCTCGACGATCAATATAACCCTATGAAATCCTAACCAGTCGACGTTTTATATCCCGTAAACTCTAGGCTGAAAATCGTGATCCCACACAATCTCGATAGCCAATCGACGACAACTATGGAGACGTATGACTAAGAAGATGGCAAAGACTAAGTCGACGGTGATGAGGGTTAGGGGTTAGGGATGGCAATGGGCCGGATATTGATCCCCCGTCCCCGTTTTAAAAACCCGTACCCATCCCCGCTTAAAAATCCGCGGGAAAACGGGTATCCCCATTTAGCATAAACGGTTATTTAAACGGGTATCGTGCCGGGTATATATATTTAAATTAAATATATAAATATTATATATATATATATATATATATAATAATTATTTTTAATATTTATCGGGTAGGGTATCAGGCCTGGTAATCGGGGCGGGGATTACTAAACCTGACCCGTCTCTGTCCCTGCTTAGTATAAACAGTTTTCCCCCGTCCCCGTTTAGCATAAACAGTTTTTTTCCGTCCCCGTTTAATATAAACAGTTTTTCTCCGTCTCTGTTTAATTCGGTTTTCGATTTTTCCCGTCGGGTTCATGTTTTTTTGCCATCCCTAGGTAGGGTTAGAGATTTAGGATTCTTAGTGAGTTAGGTTTTTTTTATATTTTAAGAGAATTTGTGTTTTCTTATAATTATAGGAATATTTTTTTATTTTTTAAATAATTTGAATAGACATGCTTAAATAACATTTTATTTTTATTAAAAAAATACATAAATTTAATTCGAACAATTCTTTCATAGGCATAAAATAAAATAGGCAATAAGTATATATTAATAAATATCGAATAATTGACATGAAAGAAGTTCACAAGTATTTAACATATCTCTTATAAAACTGTACATTAAAAGATTAAATTAAACTTCTAAAACGAACAAATATTTTTTTTCTTCCGCTTATATTTTTATCTCGAAAAATATATATTTCAATCGATTATCAACGATAAATTTATCAATTATGATTTTCTATCTAAATTAAAAAAGTTAATTATTTAACCATTATAATATAAATATTATCAGAAGTAATTACATATATAATCTAAGTTTATAGCCTTTAGAAAAATGATTACAGCTTAACAATCTTAAATATAAAATCGTTAAATCCACCTATGACCGCCATTTAAATTTTACGAAGTTTCATTTTGAACGTGTAAACAAATTTCTAAAAGTGGATAAATTGTGTTTAACGCCCTTTGGTTATTCACATATTCATTTTAATCCTTAACATAAATATTAAAAATGATAGATGGCAAAATTATATCTTTAGTCCGTCTTAAAAAAGTTATTAATTCAGTAAGTCGTTTCAGATATCTGATTAAATATATATTTTTCATTTTTATCATCTCTTATGAATTAATAATTCTTTTTTTTGGATAATTAAGAATCAATAATTCAATTGAACCCTTTAACACAATTTATTTTTAGCTTTGGTCACACAATTTTATAATTTTATCTAAATTCTTTACAAATTTCTTGATTTCATCCCTATTCGTCCCAATGTATTAAAAAAAGATAGTAATAAAAACAATACACATGATTTAGATTTAATCTTAATCTTATTTCGAAGAGAGAGGAAGGGAGGTTCTAGAGAAAAGAGTGTTCCTAGTCGATTTAGATAGGGATGACAACGGATTGAGTTGGGCTTTTGGTCAACCCGATCGACTCGAAAAATATGTATATTCTACTCGAACTTGACCCGACTCAAAAATTATATGTCCTCCACCGACTCTGACTCAATCCGAATTTTTAGAACATAAATCCGACCCGACTTTATATAAAATAAGGATTTAATTAAAAAGAATATTTTTTAAGAAATTACATTTATCCCGGGTCAAGTCGGGTCATATTTTTTTCACCCTCCACCCGACTCGACCTGAACCTTTTAAAAAAAAAAGAGCCTGGACCTATCAAATTGGGTGACATTTATCCTGGGTCAGGTCGAGTCATATTTTTTCACCCTCCGCCCGACCCGAACCTAATTTTTTAAAAATGTTTGACCCTATCAAATTGGGTTAGGTCAGAATCCTACGATTTCGAGTTAAATTATCATCCCTAGGTCTAGAACATATAACATAAGAAAATACAAGAGAACAAATATAAACAATTTGACTAACCAACCAAATATGCTTGCTCGTGAGCTGTTCTTATTAAATGTCCGAAAACGGAATGTAAATTATAAATGATCATAATAAAAACAGGAGGAAAAGTTTGAGGAGCTAGATCATGAATAAACCTTTCAATTCATACGACCTGTTGGAAAGCTGATAAGGAGATGGGCCACATTTATCACATCCGATCTTCTTGAATTGGCATGGCAACTACATCTTGAACCCACCAAGTAATAATAGATGGGACAAAGAGAAAATAAAAATCTATGCAACATTTAATTACTTCTTGCCTAATTGATACCTCATGTTTATAAAATCACGATCTAATTGTAACTAATGCCTATATGACCAAGTATTTAATAATATAATTAACGTCCTCATTTACATATAAATTAATTTTGGGTAAATTATGCATTAAGTACCTAAACTATCAGTTTTTATCCGTTTTAATATCTAAACTTTTATTTTTCAAAATTAAACCAATGTTTAGTGTTTCATTTTAGTACTTTGCCGTTAAAAACTTAACGGCTGCATTTTTATGGATAAATTAGATCATTCATCACTCAACTATCTTCTCAATCTTATTTTGGTACTAAAGTTTAAAAAATTTCAATTTAACTACTCAACTTTCAAAATACTCCTATTTTAGTCACTCTATTTTATTTCATTAATAAATTTTATGACATGGCATTTATTATTATTATTATATTAATTTATAATTAAAAATAAAAATAATTT